GATATTTTGCAATTTACACATTTTAAGTCTATCAGGAACGGGATATACACATTTGTTTGCTCCATTCCCAAATACCCAATAACAACAAGGAATGTTGTCCAAAGATATCACATGTTACTGATTTTAATCTTGAGGTCCTTGGATTTAGTTTCTCAAACGTTTACAAATATTTTTATTGGGTGAGCTGGGGCTGCAACATCTATTGTTTCTGGTCGATTTTCCTGGATTTAATTATCAGTGTAAACACTGAAAGTCCAGAAGATGATAACCTCGTCATTCTATACAACTTTTGGTGATTTATATTCCCATTGATTCACTAGGGAGGTTGAATGCGCGGTATATCGACTAATATGTATACTGAGTAGCCCTGAACACGGATAAAAAATGAGGTCAGCAGGTATAAAAAAAATTATAAAAAGGGTGTAAGACAAGGATGTGTCGTCTCACCGGACTTATTCAACCTATACACCGAGGCATTTCTGAGAGAACTAGAAATCGTACCACAATTCATCATTGGTGGCCACAGTCTTAACAATACAAGGTATGCAGATGATACAGTGCTGGTAGCAGACACGGAAAGAAAACTAAAAAACCTTCCTACAAAAGTTAGCGAAGGAGAGCGAGAAGGGACTAAGCATGAACTAAAATAAGACAGAATGCAAAAAGATGAGGCCAAAGATGCAAAATACAGGTCGGGGATACTAAAATCAAGCAGGTACAGAAAATAAATATCTGGGAAAATGTTCTAACAGAGGACGGAAAGTAAGATACTGAGATCCGAATACGTGTGGGGATGACTAAAGATGCATTTCAAAAGCTAAGCAAAGTATTAAGAGTATGTTTTCCTTAGAAACAAAGAAAACAGTGCAGAACTGTTACGTGATATCTGTCCTCCTGTATGGCAGCGAATGCTGGACAATCTCCTCAAAGATGAAGGAAGATTCGAAGTAAAACACTATGGATTAGATTCTAAGGATATTATGGGCCGAGCGTGCGAGCAACAACGAGGTTTAGTAGAGAATGGAAACAGAGGAAATCTATACTTAACGTCAGGAAGAGGCAGTTGAAATTTCTGGGATACATAATGATGAACGAGGGCTTGGAAAATTTGACACACACAAGACAGGTTGTTGAAACTTGACTAATGCATGGAATAATAATACAACACAAAATGTACTTAGAACAAAATGTATTGAAACAAGAAAGTGTATACAATATTTACATATAGTCTTTTGTATATTCTTGGGAAGACCGTTCCTGGAGAACTTAGTCGCAGTCGGGCAGAGTCTCTGGATTGAATCTCTTGATTCCTCCCCTCGTCTTCCCGGTACCAACCATATTTATATGGTCGTTACTCCACTATGCAAATTAGGTGGATCCTACCACAACACAGGTAGAGGGGAAAAGGAACAGGAGAAAGCAACAAATGACATACTTAGTGCGCTTGAGCAAGTGGATGGCGGAACAGTGTTTGGGAGAAATAACAAAAAGACAAAATTTATAAAGAACTACAAGCGACAGAAGGAGGTTGATGGGCATGATCGCCTACGTCCTAAATGGATATGGTACATAAAAGAAGAAGATATAAGCAGAGTTTCGGAGAAAATAGAGCAACAGAAGAGTTTTTTGAATTTTCCATGAAAAGTTCTCTGAATATTATCGAGGACCTTTGTGTTGGTTAAAAAATTCTATGCGCCATGGCAAACTTTATATTCCATCTCATTTCGAGAAAATCATATTGAATCTATTTGTCACAATGTTAAGAATAACCATTTTACATTTCAGTAATAAAGACTGACACGTCCCGACTTGTCAACTTTGATCAATGAACAAGTGGCAATAGAATTTCAGCAAATAAATATATCAGCTCTCTTTTTCTCTCTCCCTCTCTTTATATATATATATATATATATATATATATATATTTTTTGTGTATGTGTGTGTGTGAAAATAATACATATATATATAGAGAGTATTAATATGTATATATACACAAGTATAGACTTACGAAGCAATTTCGATATATATGACATGTATACATATATAAAATTGTGTAAATATGTAAAGGCTGCGTTAGAAATACCTACCATATACATTTAAGCCATTAGGTAGATGAAGACAGCATTGCCACTAATGTATTACCATTATGTTGGAGGTATTTCTGTAAGGTGTATGTGGGAACTATTTCTGGCGCACGGCGCACCCTATATATATATATATATATATATATATATATGTGTGTGTGTGTGTGGTGTAACAACAAAATTGTCCAAATCGTGTAAAAGCAAAATTGTCCATTTGTTAAATTAAGCTTTGATTCGTTGTATCATAGAAATGATTAAAGATATCTTACTGGAATTCTGCGAAGTTTTTATAACACTATTGGAATCTACTTTGAGCAAAGATCATGTATAATTACTCTCCAAGCTTAATAGGGGAATCGTGATGAAATCGACCATAAACGAAAATGACATGTTCATTATTAATTAATCATAGCTAAGGATCGGAAGCTCATGCAGGATTGAAATTAAGTTCAAATATTTATATATATTATTCCAGGATCATTTCCAACTTATTCAACATAATATTCACTCACTCTAATCTTCTAAATTTCTCTCTTGGTGTAACAAGTTGCCTCACAGGTTTCATGTTCGATTTCATTTTCAAGACTTTTTTTCACTGCTCTTTGGACTGTCATAAGTGAAACTTCTCTCTCACATGCCAAACGTCTTATGCATTGAGGTGGATCTTTTCTATCTGATCTCTTTAGCTCTAAGTTGAAATGATGGCCTCTCTTCCTGTTGTGACCTCCTGATCCAGTTTTCCTCTCTACTGTTCCCTCTTTTTTAAAACTTATTCATCATTCTCTTGATTGTTCTTGAATAGACATTGAAAATGAGAGCCAGAGTATGAATATTGATGCCATTACTGAAGGCCTGAATTATCTTTTTTTCCTCACACCATTGCTCATTTGGGAAGACGGTGGTGTTGACACAAAACAATTTAACCTTGTTCTCTTTCTAACTGAATAACATATCTTCCTGATTCTCGAAATAAACATATCTGCCCTGTTTCGTATCCTAACCTAAACAATTTTTTTTTAGGAAATGGATTAAATCAGACATATTTTTAATTTGTTTAAACGTTATTTATTTAATGGATGCTCATATTTGAGTAGATGGTATGTTTTTATTCATTTATTAAACAGTATGTTTGTTTATTTACATGTACCGGCAAGAATATTCCTGAAATCCTCTTAGAAAAATATGCGCCCTCCAGCAGGATTCGAACCTGCGACCTTAAGCAAAATCGTCATTAGATCTGACGTGCTTAGACTAACTCGGTCACGTAGGACCTCCTGAGCAAACGAAGCCCCAATATTGCTTCATACTGAATAGAGCCCGAAAAAGAACGAAAGCTATACCTGTTCGTCAAAGATACTGGATGAAAGAATGCCATATTTATGTTCAGAATGATATCGAAAAGAGCAAGAAACGTGCAAATGGATATATATGTATGTTCTATAAATTGGGCAAACGCGTGTGATAAACAACGGTATAGAGAGCTGCTAGCAGTGTGCATTAAGAAGTAACAAAGAGTAATGATTCGATTTCTCTGGTCGGAAGTTGTTTCAGAGGCTGAAATTCATTGGGAGATTTTAACACAATATGGCGACAGTGAACAATCATGAAGAAGTGTGTATGAGCCTAAAGAATGTGACATACAAAGAAAGAGCAGTTCTCCCCTCAACCTCCACCACTGACAAGAAGATTCTACAACTGCAAGAGATGGTAATGGCGAACCGGCGAGTTATCAACAAAGAGATGTTCAAATTCGGATCACTGCTTCTCCTTTGTGTACACTGCTTGCGGAGCGGTCATGTTTACAGTGTAACAGCAGCAAAAAAAAAAAACAAACCAAAAAAAAAAAAAAAAAAAAAAACAGCGCGACCAAGCACGCATGAGCAGAAAACGGTGTGACAAGCCTAAAGATATGTGTTATACCTGACGTACCTATTCTATTATTAATAGACTCTCCCACACATAATAAGTAGTAGTAGCAGTCGCCAGTTCGACTAAGTGATGTTGAGCGAGTCAGTCGATATCGGATATTGAAGTACCAACCATCACAACTAGATTGCTGCGTCATTAACTCTTATTTCCAAGTTTCTAACGTTTTGTACGTCGAACCTAATTTAGGACGACTTATTGAAACACAAGCCTCCACTGTGAAAACTACTCTACAACAATATGTTATGACAAAAGTGTGGATAATTTTCGACTTAACTTTCTCTGAATATGTTGCTTAGCTTCTGAAAGATATCTTTCACTATTCCTCATATTTTTTGTGCAATGTTTTCCGCGAGAGACTTACATGTTGACATGTAAGCGGAAAAAGTAAGAAAGTCGAATGTATGTTTGAGAACATTAAAAAAAATTTGCTGTTATTGTCGATTTTTATATCGTACTTGCAAATCCTTAGTATTGTTCGAGTGGCATCGTCGAATAGTGGAAATAAAGACGGCGAATCTCTTTTTGAGGTATGTCACATTTTATCTGATGGGCCCAGAAGAAACAATGTTGATTAAAACTGAATAGATATTCGTAGAAAACAAAGATAGCAGACCAGGAACTCGAAAATCTAGTAATGAACAAAGTTCAAAGTAGATTGGTCAGAAATTTTGCATAATGCCGCTGACGAGAAGACCGTCGTATCGGTGTTTTTTTAATACAATGTCGGTATAGTATACACAGAAGAAACCTGATAGGATTAGGTGAATATTACTAACAGGAAGAGTTGAAACCAGAAATGCTGACAAGCAGTACAAAATGAATAATGCTGAATCATTGGAGAACAGCCTATGTTCAAAAGATAGGTAGATTCACTCAATTGATATGCGCAGTAGTCATGAACGGTCGATATTCAAGGAGACAAACTAAGTTATTAGACATGCCCAGAAGAAATCTAGACATGTCAATGTTCAAGGATTATAAACTGAGTCAATGGAAATATGCAGAAGAAGTTTTGAACAGTATATATTCGAAGAAGGTAAACTTGACAGCAGAACGAGCGGGAAAAATCTGGAAGAGTCGACTTTTCGAGGAAAGGTAAGCTGTATGCGCAGGAAAGAAATATGTCCACCAATGACAATCGTTGATCGTAGAAAATGCCAATATGCTCGGGAGAGGATTGGTATACGACCAGCACGATTGTTTTTGGAATAAGATGCCGAAGAACTCCGGAGAATGTTGGTATTGCGACCAGTATATGTAGTAAATGCCACAAACGGTTGGTTGTATGCAGAAGATATTTAGGACATGGATGAGCGCGTAAAGTCCCGGAACGAATGGTCTCTCACAGTGGTGCAGGGACCGTGAACAAACGCTGAAGGTGCCGGAACGTGATGTCAGGGCTGTGAGTGCAGGTATTATTGAGGAGCGCTGGAGATACTGGAATCAAAAGTCAAGTGCTGATAGTGCAGGATACCGTTGAGAAGCGCTGTAGATGCCAGAACGAGACGTCGTGCGCTGGGAGTGTATGTACCGTTGAGAAACTCTATATATTCGTTTTGATGTCGAGCGTAATAGTGCTGTGTTTGTTGTTTGTTAGAGTCGATATTTTCAAATGACTATGTCAAGTTTGTATATTGACTCAAGAGGTCAACGTATACCGCAGGATCAAGCAAAAAGGCAGTATGGTTTAGGAGCGTGTTCTTTGCCTACTGACGGACCAATGTAGTAATAATTGAATGGCTATTGGATATTTTTTTCGTGTCCCAAGTGTTGCAAAAAATCTATTTGCTGAGTCGGAGAATATCATGTGTTGTGTAGATTTGCTGTAGTGATTGAAATTTGTGATATTGCTCTTTCATAGGGTCTAATCACAAATTTTGTAGCAGTGTAAAGGTTTTTGCTATAAGTTTATAGTGTCCGACGCGCATGGTAGGGTAGAAAGAGCTTTTCTTCATAGGCTTTCGGTTTGAAAAACGTGTGTAAATGTATATTTAAGTCCGTACATATATAGCCTTGTGTTTTTTTGTTTTCAGGGGGACAAATAATAATCAAGTCGGTGTCATGAACTTGTTGCGGGCGTTAGTAATATTGTGTGTTTCTGTTGGGGAAAAAAAAACACTTGTCTCCTGCAATACCCAGAATAAAAATGGCGGACTCGGTATATGAATCCGCGTAAATAAATACCAAGAAACAACAAGAATCAATACGTGTAAAAATAAATGATAATGTGTGTAACAAAAAAATGTGAAATAATGTTTAGTTTAAATGATGTGAAGTGAGTGAATGTGAATTCCTACGTGTATTGTGTGTGTACGGTTCATGTATTAGACAGACCAAGCAACCGTCAGCCTGATGCAACCATTTTTGCGTCTGTCTCAATCCCCGTTGAACCGCGAGAGAATTCACCGTCGCGCAGATTTGTCCACCAAAATCAAGTTCTCGCAAATGACCTCGTCAAAGTCTCTTTGATTCACAGCCATCTCCATGACCGCCACCGCCACCAGGAGAGAGAAAGAGAATAGGCAGTGAGGATGACGATCCCGATGATCGGATGCGAGCGGGTGACGACAACAACTCTGAGGCGAAAACGCATCCTAATCTTATTCTGCTTTCTATTTTTGAGCATCCAAGGAAATCATTCTTTATTCGCATGCAACTGTTTGATTCTAGCAGATGTTACAGATAACTATTTATGTAATGTCCTTACAGTACTTCGTCCATCACAGCTTTTCACGGATACCTTTTCTTCATTATCTGTGAATTGCCACGCCTTTTTGTAAGTGATTATGTACAGAATTCTCGTTGCCTTATCCACGGTTTAAAAATTCAGTTTCCTTTTTCTTAGGCCGGTTGATACTCAAAACTAGAGATCAGCCTCTACCCTGCTGTTTAAACCATAGCTGTAGGGGAGAAAGAGATGTTTAGATTTTGCTGTAAGACCAACCCTAACCAATGATGGGCTTTGACAAATTCTTTTGTAAGGTTTTCTCTGATCTCTACATGTGCCTCTAAAGTTAATATATTGCACAATATTTTGAAGACGTTAAATGAACATAATTTGAATTATCAGTACTTACAAACTGTTCAGATCTAAAACGCACTAAAACTTTTTACATTTGCTTTTTTTTCATAATTCTAGTTTATTGTCTGTAAATTGCCATGCCTTGTTTGGAAATGAAAGTTGAGTGTTGCCTTCTTGGAATTCTGGGTATGAACATGGTTTGATTTATGCCTATCCCAAGACCATTTGTGCGAAAATGAAGGCAAGACTTCTGAACTCGACTCTCCGATAACCGTCACACTACCTGCCTATCCACCGATTTTGGATTATCTGAATTCTGACGAGTTGCGCGCGCAGTAGAATTAAACCGGAAATAGGACGAGTAAGGGTTTGTTAAATACACTGGAACAAAGAATTCTATATTTATGTTCAGAATGTGGTCAAAAAGAGCAATTTAAATGTAAAAAAACTATGTATACCAACGTTTTATAGATTAATCAAAAGCATTTGATAAAGGACGTTGCAAAGAACTTGTTGTAACTGCTAAGCAAACTTGACATATTTGGGAGGGATATTAGAATAATCCAGAACCTATATCAGCAGCAACCCCCCCCACTGCATAGGGATGCAAAATGAATTCAGTAATTATACACAAATATAAAGGGCTATAAGACAAAGATATCTCTTCTCACCGAACCTATTCAGTGAATTAGAATTTCAACCGGGATTTATTATTGGCGGGTACAATCTTAGCAACATAACATATGTAATCTTGTAGATTATCTCTGCCATAATAAACAAGAAAATGCTATTGTTTTTCTATCTTATGAATACAATACCATATCAGAAATATTAAAGAATTGTCATCAGACTAGCGCATTAAAATAATGTCTTTCTAATGTACGAACAGAAGCAAAGACACACATATGCGTTTGTTTTTATATTCATTTACGTGAGCGTGTACGTGTTCGTCAAAGTATGTTACAAATCTATGTGTGTTTCCGCCTTTGTCTAAATGTAGCAACATATGAAGTATACGCCATTATATTTATGGTGTCTGTTGACATAAAGTCGTGTATAAATAATATTAGAAACATTGCAGAAATTCAGAATCAATTCAATTTTCTTAAGTATGGTTCCGCAACGTTTGTAATTTATTTGAGTACCAATCGTCGTAAGTACCAACTTATAGCCCAATACCAAAACGGGCAAGTCTGTTTCTAATAGATCACTTCTCTCGCATTGTCATGTCTCGTGAATTTACTCAGGAACGTGTCCAAATATACCTGGAGGTGAAATTTGGCTACAGAAACGGTTCATTCTACTTGAGACAAAGATGATCCGTGGCACCCGAGCCGAATACTTGGCTAGAAGATCAAAGTTTTCAATACTTGTGACACTTAACACCCATAGAGTGTCTCTTAATCTGACTCACATCATTAGGAAAGCTTTGATCATTTCGGGAAATCTTGGGACAGACAACTTAATTAGACTCTATTGAAAGTAGCTGTCAACTCCTGGTCTTGCACGACTCGAGTGTCGATCATCATAGGGTAGTCAAGTTGTCTTTATCAGTCAACCTAATTTGCTTGTCTGTCCATTTGAAAAAGATGCGAATATTGAGCAATCTGATAGATAGATAGATAGATAGATAAGTGTAGGCTGTGATAGATATGAACACACACACACACACACACACACACATATATATATATAGTGATAGATAGATAGAAGCAGGCTGTGATAGATATAAACATAGATAGATAGATAGATATAGGCTGTGCTAAATAGATAGATAGATAGATAAATAGATAGATAGATAGATAGATAGATAGTTAAATAGATAGATAGATAGATAGATAGGGACAGGTTGTGATAGATAGATAGATAGTTAGATAGAGGCTTAGATAGATAGATATAGGCTGTGCTCGATAGATAGATAGATAGTTAAGTGTAGGCTGTGATAGATATGAACACACACACACATATATATATATAGTGATAGATAGATAGAAGCAGGCTGTGATAGATATAAACATAGATAGATATAGGCTGTGCTAAATAGATAGATAGATAGATAAATAGATAGATACGGACAGGTTGTGATAGATAGATAGATAGATAGGGACAGGTTGTGATAGATAGATAGATAGATAGATAGATAGATAGATGGACTGTATATGGACATAGATATTAATGACTGATTGATTGTTTTTTTACGGTTTATCAACCTTTTGCAGGTTAGTTAAAGTCAGAAAATATTTTAAATTGTAAGAATTATTTTGAGATAATTATAGTTTAATGTTATAGTCTTACTAATTAACACATAGCTGCAGGGAGAAGAGGTGGATTCAACCAAGAGTATTTGCGCGTACATGAATAAAACCAACATAACGGCAACAGAAACTCGACCCTCCGATTAACAGGATATATATATATATATATATATATATATATATATATGCAAATGGGTAGATAAACAAATAGACATAAATATGAACATAATGTAGTAGATCAATAAAATACACTCAGTACATTATTTTTACTTCGTATTCTGATAAGTTTAAAGACTACTTCTTCTATGAGTTGTGTCCATTCAGGACGTTGGCGACCATGGTAATTCACTGTCATTTGTAGCTCTTAATAAATATTGTATTTTAGTTATCTCTCCTAAACCTTCCGCCATCCATTTTCTGAAGCTCGATATGTAGGTTATACTTTGTTTCCCCCTGTTCCTCTTGGTTGCAATCTGTCCTGTGTGTATCAAATTTGTCAATCCCTCTTTCCTCATTATGTTCCCTAGAAATTTTAACTGTATCTTTCTGATGTTAATTATAGTGACTTTTTTGCTTCCATTTTCTTTAGTGTTAATTAAAAAAGAAAATAATTTATTAAGGTGAAAATATATTGAAAATACAATAATTTCGGGATCATCTTCTGTAAGATTACGACCGGGATCATACAACATATTGCCTTTCCTTATAACGTAATCACTAATACAATGTGGGATCATGAAACAATCGTGATAATAATCGTGATAAAAAAATTAATATTTAATTGCTAAGTATCTATGTATTTTTAACGTATCGTTATAAATTTTAAGCGATGTTTACTGTATTTCTCCGCCTCCAACAATATTATCAATTTATATTTACTCTGTATCACCCATGAATAAAGTATTACTGTCAAACACGCAGTTTACAATGAACCTCAGTCCCTAGCAAACATGATGTCTCATTAAACTCAACACAGAACGTATACAACATATATTGCTCTATGTTTACCAGATTACATACCGGTGTTGTTATCATTTAAACCAAATGAACAAAGAACGTCTCTCAAAATGTAAATCTCTCAGCCTCTTTAACGGAACTTTATACACTCGCGTGTACGAAAAAGGACATATACACGTTTTTATTAATTACTTTTTGTCTTCTCTTTATTCAGTATGTTCCACTAATAAAATGTGTTGTCATATATACGTAATAATTTATGTATATGCTACTGCCATAAAAATTGCTGCAAGTGCCATAGAAAGTGGTCGGACGAACTACATTCCTTGGTTCCTCCAGGTCTGGGCTTTACGGTTAGGACCCGCTACGCGACTTACATATTAGCAAACCACCTACATGCCCTCCATGTTCCATCGTTGAGAAGTAACTTCCCCTCAAGCAGCTTCTTTCTGCGAAGCACTACCCTGTGGAACTGACTCCCAAGGGGGGGGGTCCCCGATCACTACAACCTTAACCTGTTCAAGTCTAGAGTTAACCGTTATCTTCGCCACCTTTCTATATAAAATACTCCTTCATGTAACCTTTTACCTCGAGTGCCCCTCTGGTCTTGTACAGGGTGAACGTTACGGTAATAAATAAATAAACAACGCCAGAAACTGGGATAGAGAATAAGTGTATTAAACGTAAGAATACAGACTTGAAGTGAAAATTAGTAGTCCAGGAATGCGGGTTAGTAGAAAGTATATGTTCAAGTCTCTGTAAGTAAAGCCGTAATCATCTCTCTCTCTCTCTCTCTCTCTCTCTCTGGGCTCTTGTATAACTCTCTGAGAACACCCTGTGTCTGTCTCCGTATCTACACGTATCTCCACGTATCTCAAAGTATCTCCACGTATCACAGTATTTAATATTCCCCCCACGAGGAATATATGAGGCACAAGGCCGAGTATAAAGTAGGTTTCTCCGAGCCTGTAGGCTCGGCCAAAAAATATCCCCTTTGAACCCGCATAAGCGGGTTCGGGAACTGTTTACCTACCCGATTGAAACTTTGCTCTTCGGCAAAGCCTCGTCCGGGTTCCTCTCTGCCAAAGCAGAGAGTTCGACAGACGTCGAGACTGTATCTCAGTATTTAATATTTCACCCACGAGGAATATATGTGGCAGAAGGCCGAGTTTAAAGTGGGTTTCTCAAAGTTCGTAGGCTCGGCCAAAAATATCCCTTTTGAACCCGCCTAGACGGGTTCAGGTCCTGTCTATCTCCCCGGATGAAACTTTCTCCTTCGGCAAAGCTTCGTCCGGGTTCCTCTCTGTCAAAGCAGAGAGTTCGACAGACATTCGAGACTGTATCTCAACGTATGTCAACAGCAGGTATTCTCTCTGTCAGTATAAATATACTTTGGACGAATTCATCTTATGTAAAAAGGGGAGAACCCCACAACATAAGCAATACTTAAAATAGTTCTGAATTATCGTGCCTGTCTGCCAAGAGACTTCTGCCAACGGCCAATGGATAGCATTTTTTAATGAATTGTGTAAGAAAAGGCTAGAAATGTTTCTCTCTCTCTATTTAGCTACAGGATACTGTAGAAATAAGACATTTCTTCTTTCTTCTCCCTCGTCGGGACTTTTTGGTACCAAGCAAATCTCGTGTCCACATTATACAATTATAATGTATACAAGTATAACTAAATAATACACCGTCCTGGGTATGACGATAAACTACATCCGCGTCCTGGGCAAGACGATAAACTACGTCCAACAGCAAGGTCTCTAATCAGGAGGTTTTGAAGAGCGTGGAACCATCTCTTAATTGCTAGTGCTCCCAGGTTCAGGTGTGGTAGCACTTGTTAGGGTCCTAGCTATGGGCAAATAGTTAATCCCCGAACTAGAAAGAAATTACTATGAAAGTGAAAAATGTGTTTTAAAACCAGAAATACTTTGTAAAAAAATATTACAGCTAGAAAATTTTGAAGGAAAAATTATTATCAGCAAAAAAAAAAATAAAAAATATTTCCAATACAAACAGCTATACATTTTTTAAAAAAAATATTACCAGAAATAGATTTTTGAAGAAAAAATATTACCATCAATACATTTTTGGAAAAAATATTACCAGCATTATAAAAAAATGTGTTGGCATTAAATAAATCATTGAGGTTGATATGCCGTAAAACAAAACAAAACAAACTAAATAATACTCAGCAAAAGAATGTACTAAACTTACCTGACAGACATAACAGATAGTTCTCACTATCTCCAGGCTGGTTTGAATTCAGAGTTTTCTATCTTCTATACTAGTTGACAACCAAACCTTTAGGGTCCAGTCTGTCCTGCTATTTACCCATAACTAGAAGGAGAAGAGATGGATTCATGCCTTTCCCAAGTGTATTAGCATATAAGTGAATGTAATGAACTCGACGCGAATTCGAACTCGGGTCCCAGATTCCTCAGCCATGGTTCCTCAAATCATTCTAGCAGACCAAAAGATGGCACTTCTGAAAATGTAAGACTGTCAAAAAAGGATACCAGTACTTCATGGCTGAGATTCGATCTCGAGCAAAGGCCTTGCTCGATCCACCCTCCGAGACGGGATGTGGCCATATGGCTTTCTAGTCGTGTGTTCTCTTTCGCAGACGTGGCAACGATGATCATCTTTTGCAGCAGTTGGAAAATAAATGCCGCATAATGTGTAATGAATAACTTCGCTCTGTGTGTGGCACCGTGGATGATTTTTAAATCAGCCCGTCTTTGGCTAACGCGAAAACATTCACTACACGTTATATCAAGTTTTGTAACAACGTTTTCAGGGAAATTATCATCAAAAACCTTACGAACAACTGAGTTTTTCATGCGACACACGATTCTCGTATTCTTACTTGTTACTTTAGGTTTTCACAAATAAAGTGTTGAAGCTTAAATAAGCATGGAATAATACAACACAAAATGTACGTTAACAAAATGTATTGAAACAAAGAATAGGTACACAATATTTACAGTTAGTTTGGTATATTCTTGGGAAGACTGTTCCTGCATAATGGGTTGACTAAATCGCAGTCGGGCAGAGTCTCTGGATTCAATTTCTTAATCTCTACTATCTTCCCCGTCTTCCGGTACCAACCCATATTTATATGGTCGGTAGTCCGCTTATGTAAATTAGGTGTATCATACACAACATAAAGTAAAAACGAAATCTGTCTATATTTCTGAGATGAGGTATTATGTACATTATTTACATTATTCGGACTACTGTCCTTGAGGACACATGGCACAGTGGATAAAGGCGTTGGTTAGATCCAGTGACAGGACCCAAAGAGTGTGAGTTCAATACCCGGTTAAGGCAGTGGAGAACTTTCAGAGGGAAATTAACAGGAGATAACTGATGACATCCATCAAACATGGCACGTGGAACTAGAACAGTCTACCCCGGTGAGAGAAATAAAGGGTTCAGTTCGACATTCCAACCACCTGAAGAAGGCCGGAGCGTATAACGGCCGAAACTTTGTGATAAATATGGCGACAAAGATGAGGACAATAGTCCGAATAATGTAAATAATGTAAAAACGAAATATGATAAATCATAATATGGAATAATATTCAGTATGATTTACGCCAAATGAAGTGTTTATAGACTGCGAACAGCAGAACAAATCTGCTCGTTTTTATTCACAAAGCAGCATCTTGTGATATTTATGAATGTATAATCTACGTTATTATACTAATGTTCACCCAGTACAAGGCCCAAGAATGGCTCAAACTAGAGGGTTACTCTTTGGGGATGTATCAACGTAAGGAAAGGCATGATAAAGTTTCATATTTAACCGTTATCTCTAGACTTGAAAATGTCAAAATTGTATTTTTTTAAGTATTTCACCCCAAGCAATTCGGGAGTGCCACTGGCTCGCAAGGAGTTGCAAAGTGTCAAGGTGAAAGAAAAAAATGTGTATATCGGGAACGAGGAAAAGATAAATGATGAACGGGGTTTAAGACATCAGATTATGGCGATTGACGTTGCATTTACATTTTTGAAGGTTGAAGTTATCAGAAAAGCAAGTAAACGGAAGGAAGTTCTACAGGCGGGAAGTGCGAAAAAAGAAGCTGTTAGAGTAGAAGTGGTGGTTACATTTGACTATTTCAACGGTAAAAACGTGGAACCTAGATGCCATTTAGTAGAACGCTTAAATATATTTAGTTGTGGCAGCAGGGAAAATAACCTCGACAAAACAGTTGCCATAAAAATATTTGTAGAAAAGACAGAGGGAAGTCATATCGCGTCTGTGATAAGGCGATTGGAGTCGAGATTCCAGGTCAGGATCGATTACATTGCAGATCATTCTTTGGATTTTGTCAAGATCCTCGAAATAAACATTTGGGACTTCAGACCATGGAGATGCTGGGAGTCCGTTGCACAAAGTAGAGTGGTCAGATTGGAACTTACTGATGAAATAAAAAGGTAATGTGGATGATTCATTCTTGTGTACGCAGCATAGTGGGTCCCAGTTTCAACTGTCAGAGCTGGTGGGATCATGGAATATAGCTTGTCGGAAAACCTGTTTCTCAGAAAAATTGTTTTAAAACAAAAACTTTTTAAATTTCTACTGAATTCCGTAATGGAGGCTGGATCATTGAATATCAGAAGTTTCCATATTACAGTTATGATTTGAGAAAAAAAAGGTGAATCCAAATAAAATTTATTCGTTTAAATTTTATTTATTAATTTATAAAACAATTTTAGTTGTTTGATCGTCAAGAATGTATAGATTATACGATTCGGCTGTTCAAATGTAGTGAATACTCCCGCCCACTGTGATGGGCGAACTGCGCAAGATGATTGGTTCACGAGATGTGATTGCTGACAATCGCGCTTGTAGATGACTCTGCTGATTGGTTAGTTTTGGGAGCGTAAAAATAGCGTTTGAGTTTGAAGAGAAATTTACTTGTCTTCAGGTCAATTTGTCAAAATTCACTTTTTACATTCAGAATGTAAATAACTGACAATTTCTCAAGCCTGTCAAATTATGTATTATTATGTGTTTTCACTCTGATTTCACATCCGAGTTTAGCTGGTCTATTTAAATGTATGACATGAAGTTAGGAATAAAATAGTTCTTTCTTTCTTTCTTTGCCTGTTGACATCTATCTATAACTAGGATTTTGGGACATAAAAGAATATTTTCTGAAATCTTTCTTTCTTTATTTGACTGTTCGTATCTATCTATCTATCTATCTATCTATCACTGGGGATTTTTGTTAACCAACAAAACATCTTTGTAAAGACGTTCTTTCTTTCTTTCTTTCTTTCTTTCTTTCTAGCCTGTTTCTATCTATCTATCTATCTATCTATCTATCTATCTATCTATCTATCTATCTATCTATCTATCTATCTGCCATTAGGGATTTTTGGAATAAATGCAACATCATTGTAAAGTCTTTCTTTCTTTCTTTGTTCTTATCTAGCTATCATTGGGGATATTTGGACCCAATAAAACATCTTTGTAAGGACTTTCTTTCTTTCTTTCTTTCTTTCTTTCTTAGCCTGTTTCTATCTATCATTGGGGAAATTCGGACCAAATAAAACATCTTTGTTCTTTCTTTCTTTCTTTCTTTCTTTCTTTCTTTGCATCTATCTATCTATCTATCTATTATTGGGTATTATATGGCCTAATAAGACATTTTTGTAAAGTCTTTCTTTCTTTCTATATTGGGATTTTTGGGATTCAATATGCGTCGTGCTGCGGCAATACATCAACATTCTTAATTTTTGATCTTGCTCATGAAGTAATTTTTGTTGATCGACAAATCTCGGTTAAAATAATTGGTGAGTCTCTAGAAATATCCAAATATTAGGGGTTATAATCAGATGCGGGTTCAGTTGAATTCCGACCAGAAAAAAATAAAAAATAAAAATAAAAAAACAAAAAAAAACAAACATCGAGTGAAAACTTCCATATTTATTTGCCAGCATTTTGTTCGAACCACTGGTATTTTTGAACGGATTGTCACTGTTGAGGAAACACTTACACAATTATGACACGAAATGAAATTCACGAAGCAGCAGCTTAAGAAATTCAAGATCCGAATGTCAACAGGAAATGTCGTAACATTTTTATTTTTTTGATAAGGAAGGTATTTCAATGAGTACGTATCTTCAGAATGGCCAATCAGTTAACTCAACATAGAATTTAAGGTTTTATAAATGAAGAGAATTTCTTTGTCTTCAGGTCAATTTATTAGAATTCTCTTTTTACATTCAGAACGTAAATAACTGACAATTTCTCAAACCTGTCAAATTATGTATTATTATGAGTTTTTACTGATTTCACATCCAAATTTAGCTGGTCTATTTAAATGCATAACATAAAGTTAGGAATAATATTTTCCTTTATTTCTTTGTTCCTATATATCTATCTTTGGGGAATTTGGGACCGAATACAGCAAAGTCTTTTTTCTTTCTTTCTTTCTTTGCTTGTTCCTTTCTTCCTTTTTTCCTTCCTTCCTTCCTATCTATCTATCTATCTATCTATCTATCTATCTATCTATCTATCTATGTTCTCTCAGTATCTATCTATCTATCTATCTATCTATCTATCTATGTTCTCTCAGTATCTATCTATCTATCTATCTATCTATGTTCTCTCAGTATCTATCTATCTATCTATCTATCTATCTATCTATCTATCTATCTATCTATGTTCTATCTATCTATGTTCTCTCAGTATCTATCTATCTATCTATCTATCTATCTATCTCAGCCTAGTCTGCTAACAAGTAAAATTGTAAAATAATAAGTTATGCAAAGTGTAGTGACCGACAAAAATAATTTTAAGGACAAGAGTTGAATTAATAAATACAAACAGAAATCATAAATCAAATCAATGAATAATCAACAGCTGAAATGTGACACGGACATGTGATACGAAAATGACACTCTGTTAATGCCAAACTCTAAAAGGACACGGAAAGAGGGTAGTAATGAAAAGCAAGAAAAAAAAGGAGTAACAGCTAATTGTAAGGAAACTTAATCAATTTGGTTGTAAGCAAAAGAGGAATTTCAAGGCGTTAATTTCCGATTGGGGACGGCAATATCATTTTTCTGAATGTTCTTAGCCTATCTATCTATCTATCTATCTATCTATCTATCTATCTATCTATGTTCTCTCCGTCTGTTTCTTTCTTTCTTTCTTTCTTTCTTTCTATCTATCTATCTATCTATCTATCTATCTATCTATGTTCTCTCAGTCTGTTTCTATCTATCTATCTATCTATCTATCTATCTATCTATCTATCTATCTATCTATCTATCTATCTATCTATGTTCTCTCAGTCTGTTTCTATCTATCTATCTATCTATCTATCTATCTATCTATCTATCTATCAGTCTGTTTCTATCTATCTATCTATCTATCTATAAGAAAAAATTAAAAGGGGCGTTGAAATGAAAACGTCAAGGGATGCCGCGGAAAGGGTTCTTTTTTAATTTTGACTCGAAGAATAATGTAATGAGATAATCTATGCGAATGTCTGCACTGTTCTCTGAGAAAAAAGCTGTTCGTGTATACATTTTGAATATGGAAGTAATGTGAGTTATTCGTGTCTAGAATCTCGAGTTTAGAATAGCTGTCTTATTTGCAAGTGTCTGAAACGATGGAACTAAAGAATGGATCTCATCTGAATATTTGTCACAGACATAGCGATAGAATAGCGACAGGATTTCAACGTTTCTTCCATGGGAAGGAGTTCATTGAGTGCAAGATAAGTCATCCCCCCCCCAAGACTAAATAACCATTTTGGAAACCTATCAAGTCTGGAAAGTGAAGCTTGAGTACCTTTAGACATGGCAGTAATACTTGAGGTTTTTGTCCAATTTTACTGTTTTAAGTGCAGAATAGGTCAGGCACGTCTGGGAATGATAGCATTAGACGACTATTTTTCTCGCCTCTTTAGCCATGGATATGTATTTCGGTTGAGGACTGGAATGAAGATGAGGCCCAGTAAATTTACAAAGCATTGAACTTCATTGGAACTAGGGCCTTCTATTCTTTCTAGAGATAACCAGAGGCCAAACAGCGAGAAAACGATGTTATTTGGGCTTTTCAGATATTGAAAGTTACATAAGAATATTACATTCTCAGACATTAAAAAATTTGAAAGAATAAATTTACTGATGGCTTTAAATTACATTAGCAAGAACAGTATTTGAATGACCAAACAATAGAATTTTAGTAGAAGGGTCAAAGAAAAATAAGAATCAATGTGCCTAGTGGGTTGAACCATAGAGCGAATCTATGAAATAGTCGGTATGCTGCATAGTAAAGGTAATGTTAATATTAGCCGTTTCCTTATAAGGAAACATTCGGCATGTACTGACCGAATATCCAGGACGGCTGTTATAGTTGAAATTTATAAAATCTTTCTTAAAAAAAAATCAGAAAAATAGATTTCTTAAGCTCGTTCATTGTTATAGCATTTTCCAGTATTGGTGACGCGTTTGTTTGATGTAATGTGGAACGCCAGCATCTTGATTACGCCATTTTGTCATCGAGTTACATATGATAACCATTTTATTTGTTGCCGTTGTTTAAAGTCCTCAAGAGATGTTGTTTCATTTTTCTGGTGCTCTACTTTTATTGAGATTCTGCAGCACCAGTCTTCAAGGTTCAAAGAAAGATGGCCTTCCTCAAGAATGTAATTTGCTTTGGTCAGAATGAGAAAATTTCGGTACATCTCGAATCTTTCTATCTACTTCCAAATATATTTTTTTTATTTTGTTTTTGCAAAAATTCTTACATCCGCTAATTATGTATGGCAATTTTTTCTGATGACAGTTTAACTGCGCAGGCACAAGACCCCTATAGAAAACGCGTCCCAAAAGATAAAAATGCAAATCGTGTTCTTCTGGTGAGCGCGTTTATCATTGACATCGTTAGTTCCGCTTAAAAATTGCTGGAAAATTTATTATTTTTCTTTTTCCATTTTAGAGTCATTGACCTCTAAGTCATCGATCGAAAAGGATTTTGCATGGCTTTTCTTAGAAATATTTTGCCTGTAATTTTCTAAATAATATTTTCTTTTGCTTTTCGTTTTCATTCTATGTCTTCGCAGATGACCATTTTAATTTACTTCTTCAGTTTTTTTTCCTTCAAATTTAACTTGAATTGATGTTCGGAAAATGTCTAAACTTAAACTCTGGCAAAGTTCACCAGTGAGGATCGAACTCACTACACAACACTGCTGTTCTACGAGAATATCTTGTTGCGTTCCAGGCGACTCAAAATGTTTACATTTATCGAAAATTTCTTAGTAAAGTCTGACACAAGATCAAAATTCAAGGACACCAATGAAAACAAAATCCACTACACAGAACTACTGTTCTCTGAGACTAACATATTAAATACTGTTCAGAACGAGGCACGTCGAAACGGTTATATTTATCGAAATTTTTATTAAGTTTAGCATAGCCTGGCATAAGACAAAAACTTAAAAGCTCCAGTTTTGAACTCACTAGACAGCACTATTCGTATGCTAGATTAATATATAAAACTCTGTTCAGAACGAGGCACCGTCAAAAGCTTGCTTTTATCGACATTTTTATTAAGCATAGCATAGTCTGGCACAGCAAAAGATTTAAGAGCTTCAGTTTGGATTTCACAAGATATTCACTATTTGTCTGCGAGAACAAGACACTATCAAAAGCTAGCATTTATCTTTATTAATATATCGTCGATCAAATTACGTCGGTTTTATTTTGTTTCATTTTGTACTAAATTGGTTGATTGATTTTGTTTAACGGCATATCAACTCCTTATAGGTCATTTAATGCCAAAATTTAATTTTCTTGGAAGTAATACATATTTGTGAGGACATAATTTTTAGATTGGTTTAATCAGTGTCTTATGTTGTAGTTTTGTTGACATTTTATTTTGGAATACAGTTTGATTTAAGAAGTTGTAGGACATTACATGGATTAATGTCATGAAGGAGTTCCTTCATGTTGGTTGATTTTGTTTAGCGGCATATCAACCTCTATGTGTTATTTAATGCTGAAATCTAAATATTTTGAAAACAATTTTATGGCGAAAGAAGAATAAAAAAAACTGGAAAGTAAGCATTTGAGGACATATTTGTTAATTTAATAAAACAACTCTAATCTAGCCGAACCAAATGCATTTTAATAAAAAGTTGTGCACATGTTTTCGATGAGTCTTTTAATGAACTTATTCTACGCATTTGCAGTCAGCTTTGATGATTGCTTCAGTATAGAACCAGAATCGTTTACATGCCTGTACTAAATGGACGATATTCTCTTTGGACATGACCTGGAAAATGGTTGCTTTCAGTGAAGTTATAGTTGTATGAGGATGTCGATTAGTTTCCTTTTCAAAAAAGCTCTAAACGGAATAGTCCATGGGGTTTAAATCTGGTTAGCTTATAGATCACAAGTTCGCCGTTACGTGATCGTAAATATTGTTTGATGTCTATTCTTCGAGATGATGCCGGAATACGAATGGCCTTCCACTGCGTACTTCATCCATCCAGGGCTTAACAACTGCCTCCCGTTCATCAACGTAAACGGCAGCATTAATTCCAAGACCCTGTAGAAAGATGTGTGATAGTATGAGATGACCTTCGGAAGTACTCCTAGAACCATCACAGTTGCCGCAAACCAGGTGTGTGTTCCACCCTGACTGCATTAGAAAAATCAAAGCAGGCTATAAGGCTTCTTAAGTAATCGCTTTGTACGGATCAAGCGGTTTTCCTGCCTTTTTGCAGATATGAATTAGGCTCTTCTCAGTATATTCGACTTGTATCGAGTGTACTCGTGCACCGCAGTTCCGATAGTCTACTCCGAAATTTCTCTGTCGATGGCCAATGTTTTGAACCTGCTGAATGAATTGCAGTCTTCCCAAAATATCCGAACATTTAGAATGTATTTTTCTCTTTGATACAATGAATAATGGAACAAAGCCAAAGAGGGTTTTAAAGTGTCAAAATGTACTTAGGGAGGAAGTTGTGGAGAGCCATTTTCATGTAGAAAAAGCGACTAACCTTCGTGTGAATGGATGATAGAACAAAGAGAAATAGGTATGGTAAAGAATCAAAAGTTAGGATGTTGATCAGAGAAAAGCAATAACCTACTTTCGTTATTTATTCAACGATTCATTTACATGGTCTGTTGAGTAGGTAGGTGGGATAACTGCTGCTGCTGCCATGGATCAGCTTTTTCCTTCGACCAGCGCGAACTCAAACTCTTTCACCCGTCTCTAAAACACGCAACTACTCTCAATTCTAGCCATAAGTACTTATATGAGCTCGTGATCTGAAATCTGTATGTTCCGACTAAGTGTCACTTGATCTTGAAAGTTTTCGTTTATTTCTCTAGTGTTTTATTCCATTTTGGTCAAGTGTGTTGCCACTTTGATTAACTTATTTCGCAGTCATAAAAGATCAAGATACTTTAGAATCTATATAAGACACTATAAATTATATAGTGCACATTTGACTTTGTATGTGTTCTAAGTTAGTCGTGTGTGACATCAGCCATCTCCCAATATGAAGGAGTCTACTCAAGGTTTGTAAAATCTACAATACCCACAATGATGTAAATGCCAATCCGGAGTTATTAGATAAACTAAAAAGGAAAGGAAAAAGAATAAGCGAATCCAATTTAAAAGACTAAAATAAAATAAAAAAAAAAAACAGTTCTTTTCATCGACATGAATCCTACCGCTGATAACATTAACCCTTTCACCTTATCCGGACATACGCAAAATGGACTAAAGCGCAGCATGATATCGCATATCTGTCAGTTCTAAAAGCATTTGTGTGTATCTCCAAAACCCATCATCACGGCGAAATACTGAGTTAGCCAACAAAACCAACAGCTTCATATTTCTTGCTATCGCTGACATGCAGAGAGGAAAAGCAAACTTTGAAGGGTAATTGATGACAACCAGTTTGCTGCCGACTGTCAACAAGACTTGTTTCTTACGTTGTGACAATAGGACTGGATATTGCAGTTTTAACAAAAGAAATTGATGGATGAAAGGAAAACGCACAGAGTATATAACTTCTGGACAGAAATAAGATAGTGATGGTAATAAAAACAATATATATTAAATAATGTCTACGGACTGGCCTTTGGTAAGAAATACTTTCATTTAGAAATAGCTAAATTATTAGCCATATACAACCGTTTTCTGGAGCCAATGAAATCTGTGGATTTTGAAAACGACTGTCCTTCATAGGATCTGGTAGACTGATGAACGAAAATCATAAATAACTTCACCAAATAACAGAAAAGCCACATCAAAACTTTCAACAGCAGGAACAACTAAAATGAATTTAAAAGGAAATAATGCCATAATGAAAAAAAATTAGGAAGGAAACCTACAACAACACCAGAATAAGCGATAACAATGGAT